TGTCATCTGTTTTGGTCAGGAGCTCATTGTGAGTGTTACCCAATGAGAAGCTCCATTCGCGTTTGTCCCTGTTCTCAAGAGATGAGTGACAAGTCGAAAATTTTCATGCGTGTGGTTGCCAGATATCAAGAGTTCAAATCCGCAAATCAGAGCTTCTCTTCACTGCTGAAGCGCCGACGATGATCTGAAAACACAGACAAACAAGTAAACTGAAGTTCAGCTTAAATGAAAGCGTCGTTCAGCCTCTCTGTGTTCTGTCACGAGATCTCGACTGTTTTGTGTGTGATTGTGTTTGCTGAATAAATACACTTACTCAACCGTTGCTGCTTTAATAGAGAAACATTACTGCAATTTGGAATTATTACCATTAGGAATTTTACTTTTAAAATAGATTTTGTTTGTTTTTGCCTGTTTTCATAATGTAGACAGAGAGAGTGCAAGTATTTTATATTAATTCATATATTAAATAGTCTGTAATAAATCAGTTCACTAGATGAGGTCAAATTAAGTCCACATTCTATTGATTTGTGCATATTGGTGAAAGTGCAATTTTGAGTAAAAAAAAACAAATCAAAACCTTTTTTTTATCAGTTTAGCTATTATACAGCATGATGAAAATGTGACAAAGTTTTCATCAACTAATGTGTGTGAGTGTGTGTGTGTGTGTGTGTGTGTGTGTGTGTGTGAGTGAGTGAGTGTGTGTTTGTGTGGGTGTGAGTGTGTGTGTGTGTTTGTACCTACTTAACCATATTTTGGGGACAAATTTATACCCACAACTGAGCAAAACCTGACAAAATCACCAAAAAACTCAATTTGGGGACGTCCTCATTTGTAAAACTGGTATAAAAAAATAAAAGTAAACAAAGTTCTCCTTCTTGGGAACTCAATGCTGCGCCCCCTAGGGGGCACATTGGGGAATGCAGCCTGCATGACCGGTGTCTGAAGCACGTGTGAAACAACGCCAATCTATTGTCCCACCTGGCCCATGATGTCATAGGGGGGATGCCCGGAAGTATAAAAGGGCACCTGCTGAATACGTTGTCCTCTTTGCTGTCTTCAGGAGCCGTCTGTTTGAAGTGCGTGTGAGAGACCAAGGCAGGTGAGCGCTGTGGAAGTGTGTGCCTCCGTTCCAGAGATTTCTGGCACTTGAAGACGCGCACGATCTATCTGTCATCTGTTTTGGTCAGGAGCTCATTGTGAGTGTTACCCAATGAGAAGCTCCATTCGCGTTTGTCCCTGTTCTCAAGAGATGAGTGACAAGCGTTTGCGTCTCGTGGTTCGGGTCCCGCTGTTGCCAAGGCACGACGAAGACTCGGATCGCGATGCCCTTTTTGGGTTATCGGATCTCGCGGATAGTGCTCGAGTCGAGCAACGCCTTAGGGAATGTGTGCCTCCATGTTTGGATTCTAACACTCGAGGGCATGTTCTGCTTTCACGTTTGTCTCGGCGAAGAGCACGCGCATTCAGAGTTACGCGCTCATTGTGATGAGTCACGATGTCTAAGCTCCGCTCGCGTTTGTTCCTATTCCCGAGGGATACGGAACAGAGCGTTTGTGTCTTGCGGCCCGGTTCCGCCGTTATGAGCCCTCTCATGGAGTGGGCCCCTTTTTCCTAGGGCCTCGCTATCTGAGAATAGTTATGTGCTAGCTCAGTGATTGCTCCCCTGCTTAGGGTTTTAAGTAGCGGTCTCTTGAGCCCTTACCTAGACAATGTTCTGCTTTTGCGTTTGTTTCTGCGAAGAGCACGCGCGTTCAGAGTTAAGCGCTTATTGTGATGAGTCACGATGTCTAAGCTCCGCTCGCGTTTGTTCCTATTCCCGAGGGATACGGAACAGAGCGTTTGTGTCTTGCGGCCCGGTTCCGCCGTTGCCGCGGCACAGTTATCTCAACTCGCGGTCATCGCTTTGATCTGCGGCATCCGCACACCCTCTCTTATAGAGTTGTCAGATGCCACGGATATTGTTGGGTTGTTATGACGATGAAGTGTGAGCTCAGAGTCGTTTCAGCCCTGATCTTGCGAGATCGTGGGCAGAGCTATATTCAGCTCGGCCGTGCCTCTCTAATATGCATGTTAATGTGTGTGGAGAGCCTCACTGGGTGTGAATATATTTAAATATCCTGTGGAGAGAGGCTTGCGAGTTTTCTCTCCCAGGGTCCTAGACAGTGCTGTCTCCCCTCTTTGGGTAATAAGTAGACAGCCCACATTTTGTGGTCTGGGTAGTTTAAGTCGGTCCCCCTTCTGGTAGCCCTTCCAAGGTACATAGCTTTCTGAGGATATCTATGTGCTAGCTCAGTGACTGCTCCCCTTCTTAGGGTCTTTAAATAGTGGTCTCCTTGAGCCCTTACCTAGACAGTGCTATCTCTCCTGCTAGGGTAGTGAGTAGATAGCCCACTCTCTGTGGTCTGGGCAACTCTGCAGGAAGGCTATCTATGCTAGCTGTGTATTGTTTACTTGGGACTGACACGGATTGGGGTCCTCCTTAGTATATCCATCTGATGTCTAGGCTCCGCTCGCGTTTGTTCCTATTCCCGAGGGATACGGAACAGAGCGTTTGTGTCTTGCGGCCCGGTTCCGCCGTTGCCGCGGCACAGTTATCTCAACTCGCGGTCATCGCTTTGATCTGCGGCATCCGCACACCCTCTCTTATAGAGTTGTCAGATGCCACGGATATTGTTGGGTTGTTATGACGATGAAGTGTGAGCACGGAGTCGTTTCAGCCCTGATCCTGCGAGATCGTGGGTGGAGCTATATTCAGCTCGGCCGTGCCTCTCTAATATGCATGTTAATGTGTGTGGAGAGGCTCGCTGGGTGTGAATATATTTAAATATCCTGTGGAGAGAGACTTGCGAGTTTTCTCTCCCAGGGTTTTCAGCACCTAGAGTGGTTATGGGGAATATCTTTTTGCTCTGGAATATGGCGGTCTGAGGGCAGCTTTATTCTAGCCTAGCTTCTGATAACTAGGTTGGGTTCCCCTTGGCACAAGTTCTCGAGTAAGTGCTGAAGTCTTTGTTAAGGAATCTGCTATTCGAGGATAGCTGAGTTCCAGGGCGGAGACCGCTTCCCTTTTAGGGCTTTTAGATGGTGGTCTCTGTGAGCCCCTTGCCTGGACTGTGCTGTCTCCCCTTCAGGGTTTTAAATAGATGACCCACTTCCGTGGCCTGGGCAATCTTCAGCCTTATCTGAGAGAACTGCTATTCGAGGATAGCTCTGTCCAGCCCCCTTGTGCTATGGCTACTGCTTATATCAGGCTTGATCTCAGACTATGATGTTTGTGTTCGCTCTTTAGCGAATCATTTACTGATTGTCTGGATCTCCCTCTTGTGAGATCTTGGTAAATAGCATGGTGCTTTGCTAGCCTACTGTGGGACTGACACGGATTGGGGACCTCCTTAATATAGCTTTCTGAGGGTGCCTCTTGTGCTATGGCTACTGCTTACATCAGGCTTGATCTCGTACTATGATGTTTGTGTTCGCTCTTTAGCAAATGATTTACTGATGGTCTGGATCTCCCTCGTGTGAGATCTTGGTCAATAGCACGGTGCTCTGCTAGCCTACTGTGGGACTGACACGGATTGGGGACCTCCTTAATCTTTGGGTAATAAGTAGACAGCCCACATTTTGTGGTCTGGGTAGTTTAAGTCGGTCCCCCTTCTGGTAGCCCTTCCAAGGTACATAGCTTTCTGAGGATATCTATGTGCTAGCTCAGTGACTGCTCCCCTTCTTAGGGTCTTTAAATAGTGGTCTCCTTGAGCCCTTACCTAGACAGTGCTATCTCTCCTGCTAGGGTAGTGAGTAGATAGCCCACTCTCTGTGGTCTGGGCAACTCTGCAGGAAGGCTATCTATGCTAGCTGTGTATTGTTTACTTGGGACTGACAT